TATATCCATATATATCCATCCCCAGGACCCAGTGCTGTTCACAGGCTCTCTGAGAAAGAACCTTGACCCCTTCAGCCACCACAAGGACGACGTGTTGTGGAAAGCGCTCGATGAGGTCAGTGACCATGTAACCTTGACCTTTTGAACACATGCGTGTGTCCTTGGGGGAGGGGGGGGTTGGCCTTAACTTATCAAACATCTATCGTCCTTATCTCTCCTCCTTCTTTTCTCTGTATATTACTTTGTAGTGCTGACACCTCTAAATTTTTGCACTCTTATGACCTGTTTGTGTTACAAGTGTGGGTGGTTGGCGGGTGCTCTGGTGTGGTTTGCTCCTTCTTTTCTATCAAACATGTATCGTCCTGATCTCTCCTCCTCCTTTTTTGTGTTTGTTACTCGCTTGTAAAGCCTCTAATCTTTGGCACTTATATGACCTTATTATATTGTGCTGCAAGTGCCGCAAAACTCGTACGAAAACTAAACTGTGTTACAAGCGCCGTAAAACTCTTACTAAAACTTACATCAGTTGTCAAGGTGTGTTTTTGACTGTGTTGTGGTTGTGGGTATTGGTTCACTACCTGTATATTCGTTTCTTCTTATTTCTGCTGTTGTTGTAGTTGTTGTTGCTGGTTTTTTTTGTTTTTTGTTGTCGATGGTGGGGATGTTGTTGTTGTGGGTTGTAGATAACAACCTTTATTCTTTGTGTACTTCATCTTGTCTTATCTTGTCTAATCTTATCTTATCTTAGCTTTTCTTTAGCTTATCTTTATCTTATTTTGTTTTATTTAATCTTATCTAATCTCACCTTATCTCATCTAATCTTTTCTTATCTTATTTGTCTTGTCTTGTCTTTTCTAGTCTCATCTTATCTTATCTTTTTGGGTAGTTGGCGGGTACTCTGGTGTGGTTTGCTCCTTCTTTCCTATCAAACGTCTGTCGTCCTTATCTCTCCTCCTTCTTTTTTGTATTTGTATGTTACTCTCTTGTAACCCATAATCTAATGTTTGGCACTTATATGACCTTGTCGTGTTGCAAGTGCCGTAAAACTCTTACTAAAACTAAACCTACAGGTGAAGCTGAGGGAGCAGGTGAAGGAGCTGCCCGAGGGTTTGGGTGCGGAAGTTTCCGAGGGCGGGATCAACTTCAGCGTGGGTCAGCGACAACTGATCTGTCTGGCCCGCGCCGTGTTACGGCATAACAAGATACTGATGATTGATGAGGCTACCGCTAATGTGGACCCTATGTGAGTGTTTTGTTGGT